ATTGTGTCTGGCTGGGCACCGGGGTCCCGGGTCCGGGGTTCCGAGTGAGGAGCCTCCCTCCGCCCGGCCGGGGAGAGGGCAGACTTCGCCGGCGCCCCTTGCCCTTCTCGGCCGCCGGCTCGGCACCCCGCGAGTCTCCCCGGCAGTTTTGCTTGGGGCGGGGTATCAGCCCCTTCCCCTGCTCCATCATCTCCGGAGGCGCCCCATGCCTTGGGGAGATGAGAGTTTCCCTGGCCAGTTGGTGGAGTTTATATTTACCTCTCTGCTGAAGACGGGGACACCGCTGCTTTGGGGGAGGGGGGTTACGGAAGTGCAACCTGTTCTCATTTCATAAAATTAGGGAAAACAGACTTGCTGCCTTTGGAGCACTTACTTCATTTGTTTGGGTGGGAGGAGTAATTGCTTTATTATAGCAGTTAGGGACCATTTGAGATTTTTAAAAAACAGTTTGTCAAGTTACACCTCCTTGATTTGGAGGTGGAAGAAAAGTCTTCCAAGCTTGAAGACCCGTATAGCCAAGTTGTTTCTTTGGTAATTACATACTTGACTCTGTTGGGCACTCTTTGTCTTTCAGGAGCGATGTTTGGCATCATACAGTCTGAGTTTGAGTGGAATTCCATGCAGGTTACAGTATGAATAGTGAAAATGATGTCCTTTTGCTCAATGGCAACAGAGAAGCCTCTTTGAGGGGGGTGTGCGTGCGCGCCTGCGTTAAAGGAATGCCTCCGTGACTTCGGTTTTTAGTGGATTATTTTTGCTGACTGACAGCCCCAGCTTGGCAGTATTTTGGTGTCATACTGTATGGATATGTGGTCTATTTTGCCATATATTCAAAATTTTTGTTCTTTGTTAAGTTCCATGAAACTTTACACTTTGTATTTGTGGGAAAACTCTCCAGTAAAGTACAGGTTAATGTTTGGGCTGATAATGCTATGTAAATTCAAAGAGCCATCAAGGAATTGCAACAGTTTCTAATTTTTTATGTATTTAGACAGTCATAATAGTTTCCAAACTCTTGGCGGCTAGATAAGTATTATCAAGCATGAAGTAATGAAATGAGTTCCCTGGTAAAACACTCAGTGCGCACACTGAAACGTGTGCTGTTCAGGATAGTGCCCAGATCAGCTGCATTCCCTAGAATGGAGGGGCCTGATGATCAGCAGTTGTTCAGGAATTCACGTTGGGAATTGAGGTGGGGTTGGAGCTTGTAAGCTTCTGTCCTTTTAGTTAGTATCAAGTTAGCTAGTTTTGGAATTCAGCCATAAGTCAAGTAATTACACCGGTGGTGACACGATATTTTAAAAAGAATATCTATTTGAATTACAAAGCCAAATTTTGCTCCCTAGGCTGTCACTAATTTTAAATACTTTCTGTGGCTGAACTCACTTCATGTCAGTAGGATTGTCTTGGTAAGCTCTTGATTAGGAACTCAACTGGGCCCATAAGAATTTTGTAGTTATTGGGCTGGGGATTTAGCTCAGTGTGCTCCTGACTGCCTCACAAGTGCAAGGTCCTGAGTTCAGTCCCTGGTACCAAAAAAAAAACCCAAAACCAAAACCAAACAAACAAAAAAACCCAAAAACAATAATAACTTTGTAGTTATTCTATTACAAACTTAAAATTGTTTTAAGGCTAATGTTGCTTTTTTGATGTGAGTAGAGGGGCCCATTTCTATAGTACAGGTTATTGTAAATTCTAGCCTTAAATCATGAGCTATCTGAATATTTTCTATAAGGAAAAACAGATACAGACCAGAAATAACCCTGCAAAACCATACTATGGTATTTTTTAAAAAATCCTTTAAAAAGTGTTCAAAAGTTGTGAATTTATTTTTACATGTAAGATGGAAGAATTGGATTTGATGAAAGTTCTACCCAACTTAACAGTTTCATGATAGTAATGATCTTTATTAAATTGGTGAGATGTGTGTAGATTGTATCATCTACTAGGTTTTTATAAACAGCAACAGAATTTTTAGACCTGAAATGGCCTCAGAGATCACCTAATTTACTTCTCCCCCCTTTTACAGAAGAAATTGATGATCAGGGAGGTTTTAAAGTACAAGTTTGTAAGTAACAATTCAAATTACTGTGTTTTCACTTGCTTTGTTTGTTTGGTACCCGGATGAGCCAAATCCCCTGCCCACTTTTTAAAAATGTATGAATTTTGAAATTTAAGATTATATTTTTTACCAAATTAGAATTTACAAATCCAGATGTGGTCATCTGCTCCAGTTGTTTCTTTAGTACTTTGAGTCACATTGTTTTGCCTACTCACAAGTAAAAGAGGCCCTTAGTTCATTTTAACAATTATTTACTAAATTTCTGCCATCTGCCAGTGTTTCAGGCATTGAGATGTATATGTCACTGAACTGGCAAATCCCTGCTCTGATGAGGGTTACATTTTTAAAATTTTTTAATTTTTTTGGTATGGGGGATTGAACTTGGGACCTTGTGCTGCGAGGCAGTCGGCAGATCTAGTGAGCTAAAATGCCTGGACTGAGGGTTACATTTTAATTGGGAAAGACAGTGAACATAGTTTATAATTTTGTTCCTTACTGTGTTGTAAGTTTTTAAATGCTGTGGGTGGTGGTGGTGGGGACAACATTGGGAAGAAGTTTCGGCACGATGCTGGCGTAGTGTGGAAGTGGGTTTGCAAAATGCTCTCTGTGGCATGGATAGAGTGAATTTTGAACAGAACGGGAGATGAGAAAATAAGCCATGCAGAAATATGGCGGGTGCCTGGTGTGGTGGTGCATCCCTGTAATCCCAGTGCTGGGGGCGGAGGCAGGAGAAATTATTTAGAACGCTAAGCTGGCATTTCAAGATATGCTCAAAGAATGCAGCAGTAATTTCTATTTCACAGGTGAGAGGTAGGGAAATTAATATTTATTGAGAACAAATGTGTGTTAATCAGTTTACACCTATTTACTCTCCACTCCCACCTGTGAAATAGGAATTGTTGCTGCATTCTTTGAGCATATCTGGAAATGTCAGTTTAGCATTCGAAATAATTTGACCAGAGTAAAGAGCTAGAATGTGACAGCCAGGAGTGGAAGTATGGCTTCTGGCTGTACTTAATCTCTCCATCAGTCCTACCTCCCTCTTTTTCTTTTTTCTTAAAACCCAAGAAACACCATGTAGTATATAGATTTATAATTTCTGATTGGCTCCACACTTTGAATAGCAACTTGGTTGCTTCCAGATAAATGATTGGTGTATACCTTGAGTATGTAATTGAAAGTTATTCTTTTGGTGT